ATGTTCCGTGTCCCGGCACTAACCAATGTTCCGTGTCCCGGCACTAATCGGCGTCCCATGTCCTGGCACTAACCAATGTTCCGTGTCCCGGCACTAACCGGCGCCCCGTGTCCCGGCACTAACCGATATCCCGTGTCCCGGCACTAACCGATATCCCGTGTCCCAGAATTAAGTAATATCCCACAGACAGTACCAGTCAATGCCCCATATGAAACCTCAGGTAATGTTTCAGCTGCAGTATGAGTGTCCACAGAGTAAAATGAGAAGGGAATCTTTTACATTTTCAAAAGAGAACGCTCTCTTTATCATGGGAGTGAGGTTTCAGTAGGAAGAGAGTTGCTGATACGTACTGAGGTGTAGGCTCGTCCACACATGCTGCAGCAATAGGCTTTAGTGTGTTTGACCGTATGTGTGGAGAGATGGATCTGAAGTGAGGCAGAGTCTGAGTATGCCCTGTAGCAATTTGGACATTTGTACGGCTTGTCTTTGTTGTGCTGCCGTTGATGAGACTGAAATAAAAATTAAATATGTAAGGCAGAATTCACACTTCACAATCACAAAACATCTAAATGCTCTTCACTGCCACTGAATTAATGTTTGAAGTGTAGTTCCTCACGCTTAGTGGCTGACAATGGCATTCAATTTATAAGGAGCAAAGTCTCACAAAAGGCAAAAGAAATGAATGTGTGTTTGCGTAGTATCAACTGAAAGAAGACACAATCTGTCCTAACCTAACCCCACAAGCTCCATTCCAAACGAGGTATTTCTCAAATTTCCTTATATCAGAGTTAACTGACTCTCCCCCAAGTGGGATAGTCTGTCTGTGGTGGAAAATATTTCTTTCAAGGTGCAGACTACCTAGAGAATGAGTGAACTTGTTATTTGAGCAGAAAATGCATCAATCTGCTACTCTGTCTTAAAACGCATAGAGGTGGATAAATCCCCGGGACCTGATCAGATGTACGCCAGAACTCTATGGGAAGCTAGGGAAGTGATTGCTGGGCCCCTTCCTGAAATATTTGTATCACCGATAGCCACAGTGAGGTGCCAGAAGACTGGAGATTGGTTAACGTGGTGCCACTATTGAAGAAAGGTGGTAAGGAAAAGCCAGGGAACTATAGACTAGTGAGCCTGACATTGGTGGTTGTAGGAAGGGATCCTGAGGGGCAGGATTTACATGTATTTGGAAAGGCAAGGACTGATTAGGGATAGTCAACGTGGCTTTGTGTTTGAGAAATCATGTCTCGTGAACTTGATTGAGTTTTCTGAAGAAGTAACAAAGAGTAACAAACAAAGAGTAACAAGTAACAAACGTTGATGAGGGAGAACAGTGGACGTAATCTATATGGAGATCAGTAAGGTGTTCAACAAGGTCCTGCATGGTAGACTGGTTAGCAAGATTAGATCATGTGAAACAGAGAGAGAACTGGATATTTGGATACAGAATTGGCTCAGAGGTAGAAGACAGAGACTGCTGGGTGGAGGGTTGCTTTTCAGACTGGAGGCCTGCGACCAGCAGTGAGCCACAAGAATCGATAATGGGTCCACTGTTTTCCATCATTTATATAAATAATTTGGATGTGAACATAGGAGATATGGATACTAAGCTTGCAGATGACACCAAAATTGGAGGTGTAATGGATAGCGAAGGTAGTTACCTCAGAGTACAACGGGATCTTGATCAGATGGGTCAATGGACCGGGGAGTGGAAGATGGTGTTGAATTTAGATAAATGTGATGTGCTGCATTTTGGAAAGGCAAATCAGGACAGGACTTACACACTTAATGATAAGGTCCTGGGGAGTGTTGCTGAACAAAGAGACCTTGGAATGCAGGTTCATAGTTCCTTGAAAGTGGAGTCACAGGTAGATAGGATAGTGAAGGCGGTGTTTAATACGCTTGCGTTTATTGGTCAGTCCACCGAGTATAGGAGTTGGGAGGTCATGCTGCGGCCATACAGGACATTGGTTAGGCCACTTTTGAAATCCTGTGTGCAATTCTGGTCCCCCTGCTATAGGAAGGATGTTGTGAAATTTGAAAGGGTTCAAAAAAGATTTACAAGGATATTGCCAGGGTTGGAGGGTTTGAGCTATAGAGAGAGGCTGAATAGACTGGGGTTATTTTCCCTGGAGCATCGGAGGCTGAGGGGTGACCTTATAGAGGTTTGTAAAAACATGAGGGGCGTAGTCAGGATAAATAAACAAGGTATTTTCCATAATTCCATAAGTCTCTGCAATGGCCTCAATACATAGTCCTATGTACTGAGCCAGGCTCTAAGCTCATCTGCCTTACCTATAATACTCCTTGCATTGAAATAAACACACTTTGGTTCATTAGTCCCATCGCGTTTATTTACCTGTCTCTGCGTGTCTTTTCTTTCTGGTTTACTGGTCCTAACAGTTACTTTCCCCTCAATCCCTCCACTTACTGACGTGCTGCTCTGGTTCCCAGCACCCTGCCACTCTAGTTTAAACACTCCCAAGTAGCACTAGTAAACCTCCCTGTGAGGATACTGGTGCCCCTCCAGTTTAGGTGCAACCCATCCCTCTTGAACAGATCACCCCTGCCCCAGAAGAGGTCCCAATGATCCAAGAACCTGAAACCCTGTCCCCTGCACCAGCTCCTTAGCCACGCATTCATCTGTCCTAACTTTCAATTCTTTGCCTCATTAGCACGTGGCACTGATAGTAACCCAGAGATTACTACCCTCGAGGTCCCGCTTTTCGGCCTCTTTCCCAACTCCCTGTACTCACTCCGCAGGACCTCATCCCTCTTTCTACCTAGGTCGTTGGTACCAATGTACCTCAAGCTGCTCACCCTCCCTCCAAAAGGGACTTAAGGGGCAACTTTTTTGCACAGAGGGTGGTGTGTGAATGAAATGAGCTGCCAGAGGAAATGGTGGAGCTGGTATAATTACAACATTTAAAAGGCATCTGGATGGGTATATGAATGGGAAGGGTTTAGAGGGATGTGGGCCAAATGCTGGAAAATGAGACTAGATTTATTTAGGATATCTGGTTGGCATGAACAAGTTGTACTGAAGGGCCTGTTTCCATGCTGTATATCTCTATGACTGTTTCCACACTGTAGGGATTCTATCTATCTATCTATCTATGACTCTATCGACCCGTTTAACATTTTGCACGACAGAAGTGATGAACCTTAGATCTTAAGCTTCTCATAGGATTATCTCTCC